ATAAGGAAAGACAAAATCCTGTCGCCTTTCTTTTGCTTTCATGTTCACAATTAAGTATGATTTATTTCACTTTACCAATAAACTCCGTTATCCCCAGCAGCAGTGAAATAATTTGGGTTTGTGGGACCTAGACAGGGATATTATCAAGAGTTGTTCCCCTTGGTTGGAAAATTTTTAAACTATGCAGCAAGGTATTATTGGAATCAAACATTTCATCAATTTAGCTGGTTATGATTACAATAATTATGGACGCAGTATTATGATTATTGTCCCTGGTTTACATCTTTGAAGTTCCGAGTGGGAACTCTCGAACAATCTCATGACATGGTTTTATAGACTACCAATCGTGATTCAGATGTTTTTATTGTTGGTGACGTAACGCCGGCATCTGGTAGAACGTTCAAAGGACTTACAATCTGCTCAATGAAGCAATATTCCCAAATGTTTAACATTTGTCTGATCATTGATTTTAGAAGTTGACAAACTAGCCTAACCTCGTTTTCATTAGATTGTTTTAGAATATTTTTGGTTCAAAGCGACAGCTCTCATATCCTCTGCTTGTTAATTTATATCCTTGAATCCTATCTTTCGCAGTCGTATGTTAATGATATTTTTTAAAATCATCACGTGATCAAACATGCTCCGCCCCTCATTAATATTCATGAGCAAAAGTGGCTCTCATTTCTCCATATGTTAAATATTTTTCATAGCTTAGATATATGTCATTCCATGTCATTTTTACGTTGTCCTTCAATTCTCTTCCAATTATTGCCAATTTTTTGAAATTTCCATGAGACAGATAAAACGTGCTCAAATTAAAAGCATATACACCCAAGGAGAAAAAAACACTTTTTAATGACATATTTTGAGCTGTTCTGAAGTTTCATATGAATTCACAGAATTACAGACGTTTCGCCCCAATAGTGAATACCGTTACGCCCCAAACCAGTTCGCCCGAAAAAAATTTCACATCGCCCCAATTTTCAGTTCAGTTCGCCCTAAGTATGACAACCATATCGACCAAAAATTCTGTATTGCCCCAACAGCTTCGGACCTATATTGAACTATAAAAGGCAGGTAATGGGAGGTAACTCTTTCAATTTTAGAGCTGTGATCATTTCTTGTTTCGAAGAATTTCGCGTGGAAATAATCTAATTATCTTAAACATATATATCATCTAAAATATACAATACATGCTTAACATAGATATTATAGATATGATACGTTAGCTACCTTCGGCACGCGTGGAAATAATCTAATTATCTTTTACATATACATATATATAGAGAGAGTTAATTACTAATTACAACAACAACAACTTACATTAACAAATGATTCTACATAATATAACACAAAGATATATATCATGCACAATACATCACTTAATATTTTTTTGGATACATTTTCTTAACGTTGTTATTTTAATAACACCTGTCATCAATGCGGCGACACAAAATGTTCAGGAACAAGGAAAATAATTGCCTCTCTGATCTAAGTAATTTACTACAGATTGTCGGTATATGGCTTTGCTGTTTGTTTAATAACTACAGGCATCAAAGTTTGATGACAAAATGTACACATACCTAAAAGAAATATGTTCTTTATAATAGCACTTAACATACAACACATGAAAACATGGATTTGTTGTTTATTTTCAAGTCATGCACATGCGTCGGTGTATGATGAAAGAATGTACACAATGCTACATTTCCGTAAGTCACATCTTATGGAAACATAAACTGAAAACGAACGTTAAAGGAAACATATCACTTTTACTATTCCGGCTTTGCAAAACTAAAATAATATGTTTATATTTGTTGCGCCGACCTTTCCGTAGTATACACGAAACAAGAGTTATTCCCCTCAGCACGGAAAACCCAATCACATAATAATGGGGAAAATAAGCAAGCTCCTTTTTTTAGGAAGGGGACATTATATTTTTGGGGGGCGAACTAGTTGGGGCGTTATGGTTTTTTTGGGGGGAACTTTTTGGGGCGTTATAGGTTTTTTTGGGTGCACTGGTTGGGGCGATATGAATCAAATTTTGGGGCGAACTGGTTTGGGGCGTAACAGTTTTGGGGGCAAAACGTCTGACACCCAAATCACAAGATCTTAAAAAACAGAAATCGTTAAGCAAATTCAAATGCACAATTTAAGGGTCCAAAATCGGGAGTCTCCCTCCTAAATAGGGATAGTTGGCATGTTCTAAATTAGCTACATTTTTAGCTCACCTGCCCGAAGGGCAAGTGAGGTTATGCCATGGCGCAACGTCCGTCGTCCGTCCGTCTGTCTTTCAACTTTTCCTTTAAAACGCAACTTGTCCTGAACGGCGATGTAGATTTTGACCATATTTGGTCAGAAGCATCTTTGGGGGAAGGGGGACAAATTTTGTATAAATGGTGGGTGTGGCCCCCTGGGGGGGGGGGGGGGGNAATATAGCAAATTCTTTAAAATCCATCTTCTTCTGTAGGAATGAAATAATTTATTCCGTATTTGGTCTGAAGCATCCTTGGGGGAAGTGGAACAAATCTTGTATAAATGGTGGGTCTGGCCCCCCTGGGGGCTGAGGGGCGGGAGCAATAGGGGAAATATAGCAAATTCAATTCTTTAAAATCCTTCTTCTCCTGTAGGAATGACAGGATTTGTTCCATAATAAGTCTGAATCATCCTTGGGTGAAGGGGAACCAATTTTGTATAAACAGTGGGTCTGGCCCCAAGGGGCCTGAGGGGCGAGGCCCAATAGGGAAAACATAGCAAATTATTCTTTAAAATCCTTCTACTTCTGTAGGAATGAAAAGATTTGGTCCATATTTGGTGTGGGTCATCCTTGGGTAAAGGGGAACCAATTTTGTATAAACGGTCGGCGTGGCCTCCCTTGGGGCTGAGGGGTGGGGACCAATAGGGGAAATATAGCAAATTCTTTAAAATCCTTTTTCTTCAGTAGGAATGAAAGGATTTGTTCCATATTAGGTCTAAGGCATCCTTGGTTGAAGGGGAACCAATTTTGTATTAACTTTGGGTGTGGGTAAAACCTTTATAATCCTTCTTCTACCATAGGGATTAAGGAATTTTATCCTGATTTAGTCTGGAGCATCATTGGGCAAAAGGGACTCAATTTTGTATAAAAAGCGAGTGTGGCCCCCTGGGGGCAGAAGGCAGGTGCCCAATAGGGGAAACAGCAAATTCTTCAAAATCCTTCTTCTGTAGGAATGACAAGATTTTGTCCAAATTTGGTATGAACAGTGTGTCTGACCCCCATGGAGGCAGAGATGCGGGGCCCAATAGGGGAAACAGAAAATTCTTCTTCTACCATAGGGATTAAGGGATTTTATCCTAATTTTGATTGAAGCATCCTTGGGCCAAGGGGACTCAATTTTGTATAAGCGGTGGGTGTGGTCTCCCAGGGGGCAGAAGGGTGGGGCCCAATAGGAAAAATAGAGGTAAAACCTTTAAAATCCTTCTTCGACCATTGGGATTAAGGGATTTTATCCTTATTTAGTCTGGAGCCAAGGGGACTCAATTTTGTATAAACGGTGGCCCTTAGGCCAAATAAAAGTATACCTGTACATGTGTTACCTGTTTCCCGACCGACCCTATTTTTTCATGCCGATCCTAATACATTGTATTGGTTTTTCGCAGTCACTGTTATGCATTTATTAGCCGTTTAATTGTTTTGAGTGTGCATATCATTTGCTATGAATTTTATTAGCCTTGGCTCGTGGTCAGTGTCAAGGGTTTTATTTGAAAATAGTGGCTAAGTAGCCGTAGATAACTGTGGTTATGATATAGGTTTGGATATGTAGATTGGTGTGACCATCTGTAGCCTAGGAGGGATGAGTCCAGTCTGTGATTTCAGTGTATGCTGACACTGACCCACCCACTGACCTTCGAAAGAAAAAGAAGAAAAAAAGAGAAAAAAATGTTTTTCCTACCTACATGTACCTACCCTATTTTTTTGGAGCCGAAACAGGAAACACACATATATCTTTACTTGGCCTTAAAATAACTACTGCCATAAAAATATGGTGAAGTTTTAGGAAAATGTTGACAATTATCGCGCAATATATCTTATTTTAAGCAGTTTTCTAAATTTTAAAAATGAATATTCTTATTTTATAATCATATTTTCACAAGTTTAAAGGACAAGTTAGGTTCTAGGTGATTCACTATAGTCCTTGCTGAAGTCTACTAGTCCAGGACTAGCGGACTAGTGTTAGTGTCGACCCCTGTTAAATCTACTAGTCCAGGACTAGCGGACAAGTGTTAGTGTCGACCCCTGTTAAATCTACTAGTCCAGGACTAGCGGACAAGTGTTAGTGTCGACCCCTGCAGTATTATCTCTGATCTTCAGATGTTCTCCAGTAAGAGTCACTAAAGAGATGAAAGGCTTTGGCTAGTCAATGACTAGCCTGCTAGTGTAAGTGTGACCCCTACTATTGTGTAATAGTATGTAATATAAGAGTGATATACAATTAAAGATGGCCGCCATTTTCGCGACCATCGCCCCTGCCTCCGATCCTCAACCCCTATCCCGCATCCGATCATCACCCTCTCCAAACATCCCCCACCCCCGACCCTCACCCACCTCCGACCCTCGTTTCACCGATTGCTGAACAGCCAAACTAGTACCCCAGGGTTGAAATGTCCCTGCCCACAGACCACGCCCATATAATATTCTATTAGTATAATATTTTTCAATTATGCTTATAGAATCTTGCATGGGTGTGGTCCGTGGGCAGGGAAATGTCACTAATAGAACTAATAGAATGAACATAACATGGCTTGTTCTTGTATATAGATCACATTTGGATTTTTATACTTGCACACGAGCCTTACCTGAATATAAAAAAAAACTGTTTTTCCCCCTTTTTTATGATATCTGGTAGCTGAGACTTACTACAAGTTACCTATTTCCCCCACTTTAAAACACTTTCAGTAAACACTGTCAATGTGTGTTAAAATATGTTGTCGTATTTATTTATTTATTTATTTATTTTCAGAATATTTTCTTTCTGACGGGACTTGACCTGACATGTATGCAACCATTGTTTTAATCTACAATAAAAGAAAACAACAACAGCAATCTAACTCGACCAAAACGTAACAAAATTCTAAGATTTAAAATTTAATAAAGGGACATCTCCAAAAAAAGGAAGTAACCACAACAACGAGACTTCATCACAACTTTGGAAAGCAACTCTAACTACTGATTATCACTTCAGCTAAGGTATGGACTTCAATTAAGGAACATAACACTCCAAATAAGGGACGTAACTCCAATTTAGAGAAGCGACAGGCAGCCGTCTTGGATTTTGATATTGAAAGTTTGTTATCGCTATTTCTCTGGAAGTACCGAATGGGTCTTTCTTAAATTGTATATGTAACTTTCCCTTGGTCCCCAGCTGTGCAGTGCAACTTTTGAGACTGATCAGATAAACAACATGGCCGACAGGCAGCCATCTTTGATTTTGATAGTCAAAGTTTGTTATCGCTATTTCTCGGGAAGTACGGGAGGGATCTTTCTCAAACTTTATATGTAGGTTCCCCTTGTTCCCTTGTTGTGCGGCAGTGCCTGAAATGGACGGTCGCCAGCTCGCCAATGGCGGTTAAAGTCTTGCTCGAGCGACCAAAAATTGTCAAAAATGAGGTAGTCACTGGCCCAACAAAAATAGTTTGGGTGAATTTTGATGTGTTAAAATATGATGTGGTCTTATTTATTTATTTATTTATTTTCAGAATATTTTCTTTCTGACGGGACTTGACCTGACATGTATGCAACCATTGTTTTAATCTACAATAAAAGAAAACAACAACAGCAATCTAACTCGACCAAAACGTAACAAAATTCTAAGATTTAAAATTTAATAAAGGGACATAACTCCAAAAAAAGGAAGTAACCCCAACAACGAGACTTCATCACAACTTTGGAAAGCAACTCTAACTGCTGATTATCACTTCAGCTAAGGTATGGACTTCAATTAAGGAACATAACTCCAAATAAGGGACGTAACTCCAAATTAAGGAAGCGACTCCGTCTCAACGAATAAACATACCAGTTTTTTGTGGAATAAGTTGCGGAAAAATGAAAATTACGAACGCTTTTGTGATACTCTACCTGAAGATGTTCAAGAAGAAAATTTGTAGATTAATGCCAATAGGTCTTCTAACTATTTCCATGATATATGTTGTGTATCGCGCGCAGCGGGATGTCCAATGGGTGCTTAAAAGCTTACTGGAGGTCGTACCAACGAATGTCATCACTGCAATGGTGCCGCCGTCAACAACAGCTCCTAATACGACCATTACAACAACAGAAATACAAACTTCAACTTCTGTTGTGTCAACTGCCAGAACTGAAATTCATTTCCCATTAGATATAGATTTAGAAAAATATGTCAGAGACAAACTTGAAAAGAATATTACCATCCCGGTGAAACCCATTAATGAACACAACTTCACATATATACACCGTCCAGCAAAGTGCAAGTTTACCAGGACAACCGAAGACAATGTCACATTACTGATTCTTGTGAAATCGAGCGTCAGAAATGTGTTTTTACGAAATGCCATCCGGGACACCTGGGGTCAGGATCTGAGTGGAAATGTTAACCTTAGATTTATGCTAGGTTACTCGATATCGTTTGTAGAAACTACAAAAGCGGAGGCTGAAACATATAATGACGTCATCGTCGAAAACTTTGTGGATTCCTACCCGAACAACACGCTGAAGACTATCATGGGGTTCACTTGGGCAGTGACTGAGTGTTCTGATGCAAGTACTATTCTATTTATAGACGAAGATCACTTGCCACGCTTGAATAATATATTGGCATACTTAAGGTCATTAAATCGGGATCAACTTGGGTCTTTGTTCATTGGGTACAGGCTCATATCAGGGCGTGTATACAAGGGCAAACACCACTGGGCCATACCAAAGTCGGTATACCCTTACAAAAAATGGCCTCCATATTTGAGAGGCGGGGCTTATCTTGTATCACAAGATATAGCAAAACAATTTTCGATTGCTTTTCCTTTCGTCAAGTACCTTCATGTGGATGATTCATATCTTGGTATAATAGCATTAAAGCTGAACATTAAACCACAGCACGATACTAGATTTATGATGGTAAAAAAGAAACTTCAGAAAGAAAAAACACATTTTGTATATAATGACTATAAACAGCCTGGCGAGTTGAAAAGGGACTGGAAGATTATCAAAGACAATGCATAAACAAGTCAATGAAAGACAATGTTTTGAAGAGTGCCATAGACCCTTTGTGTGTGTATGATGGAAATTGTAAGTGTGGTCCACTTGTTGTGGATCTGTATTTTGAACTGTTCACTTATAGTGCAATATCAGCAAAACCCCTCATTCACTACTGCATAAAAACTGACGAACCCAAACCAGACTTGAACATCATCTATCGCAATATAGACCAGTGTTATAAGACAAAGTGTCATCCGTAGGAAAATAAATAAATACCCAAGTCATATTTTAAGGTAGAATTCCACAGTGTAACGATTCTATGTTAAAGACTTGCTCATTAACCTGAAGAAAAGCAAACTCTCTGATTATATTTCTGTAATTCGTGCTCTGATGATAAAGTTATCCCTATATTTCGGCAGTAGAAATTTACGGGAGAAATTGATTGAATTGAATAAATACCTAATGCTATTTAAATCAATGAAAGATTTAGGGATGTCGGTTAATTATTATAAGACTTGGAAATTTTCTGCAATCTGATTGGTCGAGATCTGCTTTGCTGAACTGTATATATTCATTTTAACACCTGAAAGTTTACTTCTCATATAACATCCTCGATATCCAGGGGGTACGCTCACTTTCGTGCTCTGCAGCGAAAGTGAGCGTAACCCCTGGATATCATTTTAGCACAAGTGCGTACCTGGCAGTATAATAGCATGGGTTCGTATCCAAAAATAAAACAGGGATTTCCCAAAGTTTCCATTGTTGAAATAATCATTTGAGAAGAAAATCAATATCGTTAAAATGGTTTTATTTTAGCTCCACCAAGTAATGCCATGGCGCGGTGTCCGTTTAGTCAATTTTAAGCTCACCTGGCCCGTTGACCGTTGACCTTTCCGAGGAATTTGGTCTGGAGCATCTTTGGCAAAAGGGTTCTCAATTTTGGATAAACGGAGAGTATGCCCCCCCTAGGGCTGGGGACAGAGGGGCGGGCCCAAATAGGGGGGAGGGATTGGAAATTCTTCAAATATCTTCTCCTTCTCAACCAATGCAAGGATGTTGACCAAATTTGTTCTAGAGCATCTTTGGACAAATGGGCCTCGAGTTTGTATAAACGGGGAGTGTAGGCCCCCTGAGGGGAGAGGGACAGGGCACAAAAGGGGAAATAGGGGAAAATGTGTCTCCTTCTATACAAATGAAGGGATTTAAATCAAATGTGGTCCGAAGCATGCTTATGAAAAAAAAGGAATCAATTTTGTATAAACTGAGGCTTTAGGACTCCTTATTTGGGACAGAAAGGTAGCGCCCTTTAGGGGAAATAGAAAAAAAAATAAAGATCCAGATCCTTCTCTTTTTGTACTGATGTAGGGAGTTTAACCAAATTTGTTCAAGAGCATCTTTGGACATATGGAATTTAATTTTGTATAAATGGAGGATGTAGGCTCCCTGGAGACAGAGGGACGGGGTCAAATGGGGGAAAATAGGGGAAATTGAGGTAAATGTGTTGCTTAGAGACAGAGGCAATATTTGGAAATAGTTGCAGTACATGTATTAGTATTTTATTTAATAAGAACATTTTCCCATGTATGTGTAATTATCTAGGTAAGCGATACAGGCTCTCTGGGCCTCTTGTTCCAAGAGCTTTCATTTCAATACATTATAATTTGATTTACTCATTAAGGCAGTCATCTTGGGAATAGTCAAAGTGATTTCAGTTTATTCACTCCACAATATTTTTTTTGTATATATAGCCCATAGGGCTCAAAATGTTTCGTGTTTGATTATTTTGAGCGTCATGTAATGAAACAACTATTAACTTCCATTGAGGTCGTTACAATGATTTATCAACTTTTGAAAAGTGATATTTTCTTTCGGTATCGGCTGGGCCTCCGGAAAAGCTTATCTTCCTTGGGTTGATAACTCATTGCATCGACCTCAATTGATGTAATTAAATAGATAATCCACTATCACTTGCCAGTCGTAGTAAAATTGTGTTATGCTTTAATAATATGTGTATACCATTGCTTTCACCTTAAATTCTGAAAGACAGAAAAGAAACTCAATAATAGTTTTCTGTTACATTAACTGGAACTTTTTTAGAATATGTTTTATTTTTTGTAAGATATGCTTTACAAACTCCAAGCATTGGGCATTGGAAAAGCTAGATTACTTGGCTACTTAATAAATATGTTTCTCAAATTTACTCTCGTGGTGTGTGTACTGTTTAGTACTCGTGTTGAGCGGAATGGAAAGACAACTCCTTTTTTAGCTCACCTGCCCGAAGGGCAAGTGAGCTTATGTTATGGGGCGGCATCCGTCGTCTGTCGTCGTCCGTCAACTGTTCCTTTAAACAATTTCTTCTAAAGAACGGACAGGCGTTGAGCCATGATATTTGACTGAAAGCTTCCTTAGTAGGAGCCCAACAATGTTTGCGAATGAAAATGACCTTGACCTACTTTCAAGGTCACAGGGGTCAAACATGTCAAACACTTCAAACGACTTCTTCTGAAAAACTAAAAGGTATATAATCTCTGTATTTGGCTGATGGCTTCATGTGATAGAGCCCAACAAAGTTTGAGAATGAGAATGACCTTGACCTACTTTCAAGGTCACAGGGGTCAAATATGCCAAACTCTTTAAACGACTTCCTCTGAAGAACAAAACGTTACAGAACCTTCATATTTGGCTGGTGGCTTCCTCAAATAAACCCTGACAAAGTTTGAGAATGAAAATGACTTTGACCTTCAATGTCACAGGTGTCAAATATGTCAAAAACATCAAGTGACTTCTTCTGAAAAATCGAAAGGCATAACATTATAATATTTGGCTAGTGGCTTCTTGGGATAGAGCTCACCAAAGTTTGCAAATTAAAATGACCTCAGCCTACTTTAAATGTCACAGAGGTCAACAACATTTCAAAAGATTTGTTCTGAAGAACCAAAAGGAATGGATTCATAAGATTTGGCTGGTAGCTTCTTGGGATAAAGCTATAAAAGTTTAAGAAGGAAAATGAATTGACATACTTACAAGGTCACAGGGAAAAATATGTCAAACAACTTTTGAAGAAGAACGATGGCCAAAAAGCATAAAATCTTATGAGAATATTTGACTGGTAGTTTCAACAGATGGAGCCGACAAAGTTTCAAGTGACAAATTTGTAGTACAATATAATATTTAATGAGAATATTTACTATGACTGCTTAAATATTCAGGTTAGCATACAGGCCCTCTGGGCCTCTTGTTTACAATGTGGAGCCCACCCATTGCTTTAGATTTCATTATTTTAACATGTATATGAGATAACTTTGAATATGATAGATATATATTACTTTGGAGACAAATTCTCTGTCCATCATCATCATCAACTTGCGGAGATAAGCATAATAATGCGCACTGTTAATAAAGTGATTTAGAAATAATTAACACATGTGCAAGTATTATGGTGGAATTATAACGTGAGTGAGAAAGTGTTCAAAAAAGTAATAAGTGAAAGCTTCGGCCTGAGTTAACTATTTTTCCAACAAATTTTAATCCTTATTTAGATATTCCACCATAATATACAATCACATATTGATTATATCTATTTATTGAATAAAACCCCTCCATTGGTACAGACGAAGAAGGATTTTGAAGATAATGGGCCCCTGCCCTCTGCACGCAGATCGAGAGGGGCAACGCCCTCCGATTATACAAATTTAGTCCCCTTTGCCCAAGGAATCCATCAAGCCAAAATGCAAGGTGTCCTAGATAATCTGATTATAAGCTCACCTGTTCCGAAGGACCAAGGTGAGCTTATGCCATACCGTGGCGTCCGTCGTCCGTCCGTCCGTCAACAATTTCTTTAAACGACTTCTTCTTCTTATATGTAACCACTGATTAGAATTTAAGTAATTTTGACTGGAAGCATCCCTAGGTGGTGGGGATTCAAAATTGTACAAATGGTGGGGCTGACCCGCCAGGGGGCTGAGGGGCGGGCCAAAAGGGGGCAATTTGTCTATATTGCTTTAAGCGACTTTTTCTCTGGAACTAAGAGATGGATANAGGGCCGAGGTTGGGGCCAAAAGGGGGCAATTTGGCTGTATTGCTATAAACGACTTCTTATTTAGAACTATGCCATGGATATCGATCATATTTGGTCGGAAGCATTCATGTGAGGCAGGGATTCAAAATTGTACAAATGGTGGAGATGACCCCCGGGCTAAGGGGTGGGGCCAAAAAAAGTTTATTACTTATAAGTATAACCATATATACATTAGCTGAGTATAAAGAGAAGAATGCACATTTGCTTCCAGGATGGCTCTAGGGTCTGGTCCAACCCTTGGAGACATAGTCCCTGGGTCATAACCTTGAAATGGTTAAGATCCCCACCCAAAAACTATATATACAATTGTTGGGCATAAAGAGAAGAATGCAGTCATGGTATTAGAATTGATCCTGGGGTCTGGCCACAACCCTGGGGACCAAGGTTTTGAGTCACAGCTAGGAAACAGTTGAGATCCCCACCCCATAACCATACATGAAATTGTAGGGCATGAAATATCTAATACAGATATGCTACAAGGATTGTCCATGGGGTCTGGCATATTCCCTTGGATCTCGTTTGGAGAATAATTTGTCGTGATACAGGCCCCCTGGGCCTCTTGTTTAAATTACGCTGTTCTTTTGCGCGTGCAAACATTTTTCACGTCTTTATTTCACAAGCTGTGCGTTTTTACCATTTTTGCCTGAGGGAAATTGTCCTTTTTTTGCCAGTTTAACATGAATATATTAAGGATGGATTAAATAAGCCTATACAATACGGAACTGAATTATCAATAATAAGCTTCATTTCCATTTGGTAAACAGTAGACCAGAGACATACAAAGCCAGTGTAGTATATACGTGTCTTGAGTTAACACACTGACGTCGTACTTTATTATAGATGTTTATTTCAATCAATCGAAAGCATCAATCTATCGACATCGCTCGTCAAAAATGAAATCAACATCTGACAGTTTTACAACACACCATTTCATGTTAAATTCGTGGTAGGTTTGACAGAACACTTTGACGTGAGCGGGCATACTTTTCGTAGATCTAGACGTTAAAATTGCTACGTTTTAATTTGTTATTAGCAAATCTTCAAACAGATACAAAAATAAATTTGTGTAATCTCATTCGATAAAAGGAAACTACGTTTTGCTTGTGTACATTTTCAGGGAATATTTTCGGAATTGCGTTGCACGTGCATGGTTTGTTGTAAACAATATATGCACTAGCATCGTCTATGGTCCAATAATACACGTTTATTAACCAATGAAAAGTGTCGTTACATCGGAGACGTGGAAGAATTCAATTACCACATTGATCGTAATAATACATTTAGACATATACAATATTGACAGATGTATAAAGATATTCAGAAATCCAAGGTCATCGCGATACACATTACATTGAAAATCTTTCGGAGAAAGACTATACTTAATAATAGGAACGCACATTTCTTATTTAGATCTGATGATATGCGTGTCATAAGTAGAACCATTATTAATGCGCGCGTTCTTTAAGTCTGCATCGCTCACTACAAAACGTGAATTAGACGTGCTCCAATCAGACCCATTGCAATATTTGTGATCGTTATATCTCTTTCTACTTTTAACTACCTTTTATTTCCTAGCGCTTGCTTGGCAATACGTCACTTTTAGCTTTTATGTTTGAGCGTTCGCCCAGGTGAGGAAGGCAATGGATTCTTCCCCCAGGCTTGGATATAACAAAGTCCTTAAAAAATGATAGTTGCTATTCCCTGCTTACGTCCAGTATTTAGGGTTATGGCAACAACTGGTTCACCCGTTGTCAGTATAATGTGATCGGGCGGAATGCTGTACAGAATGTATTCTGCATGGTATTTCAGTGGTATATCACTATAAAGTCGCCATTAGATCCGCGCTATCACAAGGAGGCAAGTACACCAACATACCGTGTCTCCGACACTCATACACATATGCACGCATACGTACACGATTCAAGTTCTTCCATTTAATGTTGAGAGCACGTACATTCCGCACAGGAATGTTTTCTTACATGTCGATGCTACAGTAGGACGTATAAGCTATCGGATAATGTCATACGTCGTTCTCGTCCATTCAGCGACAGTGGGGATGGCTAGTAACATACAGGTGTATGAACGTACATATTTTAGCGGTAATTTTTATTTCAGCGCTTTAGAAAAAAATGTCTGTGTATAGTTTTCTATTGTATACTGTGATCGCGTCAATTCTTCGATGCGGTCAAAGTGTGATTAACACGCTAAATGGTGTGTCCGTTAAGATAAGAAATCTTACAGCTTTAAGTATAAAACCTCTTTGGTCTATTGTTCAAATGTCAAATGGGTGCATTGGTCACATAGGAATTAAGCGTTTGTGTAAAAATTATCTTTGCATCGAAACTACTGGTCAATAATTTGTTACAAAAAAAATAATTTCCGCTTTGCAATTTTACTGCCGATTCTCTGTGGAAGGGGCCGCAGTGGACAAGTGGTTAAGGCGTCTGGCATTCTGCTACCACCAGCCCTACACCATTGGGTCGTGGGTTCGTGGCCTACGTGGGGCAGTCGCCAGGTACTGACCGTCGGTCGGTGGTTATTCTCCACCACCAAAACCTGGCATCTCTGCAATCCACGTGAGCTTTCAACCATTATAAGAGCGCGAGTGTTTTGGAAATACCCTTAAACGATCAAGATGGAGTTCACTCATTTATCACCAGGATACACATCCAAGCATTAAATACGGCATACCGAAAGTATGACATAATTTTGGATGATCGCCTTGGGCAGTACAATGCACAAAATACATGACGCGATCGGGGCAAGCAGGAACCGACGGCAATTTTCTCGTTTACGGAAAGTGCCGACGCTTCCTGATAGTGATGCAATATGATTGTTTGTTTGTAATAAGTGTGGTCGGGTGGTGCAGTGGATAGCATGCACTTGCCTTTCACCAAGTCGGCCGGGGTTCGATTCCCCGATCGGACGTGAAAAGGTATTGGGACACCTGCCCGACCACATGGGCTTTCTCCGGGNATTGTAAAATAAATAAATAACGATTATATATATATATATATATATATATATGATTGTTTGTTTGTTACAGAACAGCACGTAACATGCATTTGGAAAGGAACCTGACGAAGCGTCGTCTCAAAAAACATAAACACACCATGCTCGTGTTTTCTCCCACCCTTCACAGGCGTGTCTTCCGTTTTAGCCGGGAATGATCAGCTTGTCACCCCCTAGGGGGAGATAGCCTCGTGCCGATTAGCACGTGTTCAATTGTGACGTCATTAAAATGCGTCACCGGTAATTGTGACGTCATCAAAAGTGAGTGCCGATATTCATACCCGACACGTGTTTTTGTTTACACTATTGTCGGTGGAGTTGTGACTGAAATAATAGGATGGGAGAAAAACGATCATCCCCTCTCATCCCCTACCTTGAGGGTGTGACGGAGAAATCTCTAACCCTCGGGGTGTTTTTTTGTTGTTGTCTAACCCTAGGCAGAGCCTCGTGTTGGACAACCAAAAAACACCGACCCTCGGGTTGGGGATTTATCGGTCACCCCCTCAAGGTAGGGAAGATTCTATTAATCTCCTAACCAGCCGACTTACAGCGGAAACTTAAACCACATGTCTAGCCTCGTTTGTCAATACACCAATAATAGTATAGTATATAGGTGTTTCGACAGACGAGGCTATAGTACCTGTGCTTAAGGTCATTCCAACATGGCTGCCACACCAAACTGTATATCAAATTCAATAATGCATTCCGTTAACATTAAACATTTCCTGTCATAAAAGAATCCTCCTCCAATATTTCTCAAACATAATTGTAATACATGCACACTAAATTTCAGAAAAATATTCAATAACTGATGAAAAAACTCACTTTTTAAATGTTCATTTTCCAAGCTGAATAAAAGTCACAATTCAGTAAAAAATCCATTTGAACTTGTAAATATCATAAGGTTGGATGTCCATGGAGATGCATTTGTCGAGAAAAGTCTCAAAGGAATGGGTCAAGGATCAATAGCATCTGATTGGTTGTCAAGTTTAACGCGTTAGCATTTAACGCGATAAAATAATTTCTCTTTGCTCATTTTGTGAAGAATCCAGACGTGAATGTATTTGTTGATTGTATGGGAATCTGACTACAGTCTGTAGATTCTATAACAGCCTCGTTATTTGACATGTCGTCAGAAACTGAGGAAACAGTGGCTGTGAGACGCGTTTTGAAGTGAGTGATCTTGCGACGGAGCACAGGGGTTCATTACAAATATCTGAAATGTTTATGGGTGCTGTGACTCATATCAGTAGGTCTGTAACATATGTGTCGGTAGGTCTATAAAATATGTGTATTTCAGACAGACATTTGTAACGAACCCCTGTTGATCAGTGCAGTGTAACAGACGATCTTTTTGATAAATTGCATGAGCGTTAAATTTGTTTCCATTGGCGGCCGGCATTGGTGATTTCAACCGATGTGCATTTTGTACGATATTGCAGACATTGGTCTTGTTATGTTGTAATAAAAGGTGTTTTTTTTTTTTTTTGCACATAAATTTACAATGACATTGTCAAATCTCACAATGCCTAGCGATATTTCAGCAGCCGTCATGTTAATTTACATTGTATATTGTAGTTCCGGTCAGTGTTGTATTAATACGCTTAGAATTATGTCTCGTGCTGCATGGTAATTAAAGTCCCATCAACGACACAGCTTCCAAAGAGGCTATATAGTGACAATGCCATTCAAATGTAAATATTTCAGTTTGAACAAAATCAGACTTCGTTAAAAGACAGGGGCCATTGGCTTCACCTTGTCGTACACCGTTTAATGTGTCAAACAATCAGTGACCACGCCGCACGGCTACTGATTAGGAAACGAAATCTGTCAGCCCCATATATCTACACAATGATATCAATACTCGTGTGTGAAGTTTATTAGTATACAGGAAGTAACCTCTGAGGAAACGTCTGCAAACAAATTGGCGGAAGAAAAATAAGACAAGAAAAGTGAGTACAGGAGAAAGAAGAATAACAAATTCAAGAAACGCAGCAAAAACAATAAATCCCTATGGGCAACTTAAATGTCTGAATACGTATATAAACGTAAACGTATGTGTGTCAGTAAGTAAAGCACCCCCCGGGTATCGTGTCTATACGTACATGTACAAAGTGCATAACCCCGGGGTCCTGATCGCAGTACAATCATTATTATGAGGCCGTCAAGAGGGGTTTATATATGCACATGTCATTTACTATAAATAGATTATCTTTAATTTTCTATTCAGGTTTCATTTTTTCATGAATCGTTTGGTTGTAAATTAAAATAAAACTATATTGTACAATTAATGAAAGCGATAAAAGTTTTAGTTTTATATTATTAAGTCAACTATTAAAAATACAGAATTATCCATTAATTATTGTAGTATCCCTTGTGGTACCTCATTCTACACAATGAACGGCGTTGAAACTATAATTGAAATGTGAATGATGCCATTAGCATACACATTGCCCCAAACGCATCCTAAGTGAAATACATTAGCGTAACAATGCGTTATGAACACGAACAGTTACTGATAAATATCAATATACATACACAAATATATAGACAATAACACGAACCCTCTGCACACTATGATATACTGTGGATAGTTGTAACATGGTCGCTTTAAAGAACTGACAGTTGATATACTGGTGGAAACGTTGTAACATAATTTATTTAAGTTTATACAGGACATACAGTAATCATGAGAAGACCAGTTTTCAATAAATTCCCGAGCGTTCTTTTCCATCGGGTAATCCTGCTGATGATATTCGGAGTAACTATTTGTCTGACATTATTTGTGCTCAGAAGAAGACACGTTGTAAAAGGTAAGACTTAAACCAAGCATCATCGTATTTATTTTTCGTCTGTTTCGATATTTTCTTTTTATTCCGCAACCAATATATTATGGCCAAGTTTGGGGACATGGGTTCAATTACAAAAATGTATCATAAAGGAGAGTCTTCACATAGGCGTTTGTTAAACTCTACACCTCCATTCATTTGCTCGCGCAGGCTTCGTCAGGTATTCTTTTTTTATTTCAAACTTCTTATTAATTATATTTATAATATTAATATCTTACTCCGCACACTTGCAGAGTTATACATGTATATGTATTTTATATACACACGCGTACTCACGACATTAGTCCATGATCATTTAACACACCAATTACTACAATTTACATGAATCAGTTTCAACTTCAGTAAATATTATGATGTTACGAAAGTTTCTTCAGCATAATGCAATTGACACGAAATAGTAGGCTTAAATTTGAATCACGATTTTTTTTATCGTCATAATGGTCATTATTAGCATAATCACTGAAAATGAGAAGGAACACATATTAAAAATATTAGTAAGTCGCACAAAGCCGAACAAAGTAAAAAAAGTATCATACGACCATTTTGCCCATTTAGTAACACAGATAATATGATTCATATGTTCATCGCTCCTTCGTAAAAAGGGAAATTTAACATATGCGTTGCGGAAAAATTGATAATAATTACTTTGTGATTGATGTTATTAAGGGATAGAACGGCGTTTTTAAAATTTTCATTCCGGCATGAAAATTAAATAAAAAAACGCCGTTCAATCCATATATTAACACTTTTACTATAGAACAATTGTTTAGAGTTATTTATTTGTTCTTGAATAATGAATTTATTCGCTGCGTTTTTTATAAACGACATTGGCGGAACAGCCTTATTTAAATAAAATTGGCGACAATAACTATCCGTAGTCACTCCATGTAATTCGAAGCGAAGCGACAAGACTCTCATTATACAAGGTCCGGCTTTACGTATTGCAGAGTTATCTTCTCTTGAGAGTAGATATTGATTGTTACGTCATTGGTTCGAATGAGAAAATGACGTCGTTTTCTCAAAAATTGATGACGTTACTCTCAGAAACAAATGACGTAACAATCAATACCTGCTCCCAAGAGAAGATAACTCTGCAATACGCAAAGACGGACGCCATAAGTAAACCACGTGTTATGTCACGAGAGCTTTTGCTTTCATACTCAAATGAAATGCATTTCTACTGGTAATGTTCATATACTAGTAGAGGGTTGCAGCAAATGTATTGTACATATCTGGGCAGCTTTCATATATATAGTCAATATGAATGCCAAATGGCGTCTTTGTTTCACCCTCTCTTCGATTATTTGACGCTGTGGTAAATTTTCATCAGCCCTTGTGTGTAAATGCTGTTGTATATTGTTAATTGTGCTGACGCTGTGGTATATTTTTCCGTGTGTGTTGATGCTGTGATACATTTTGTCCTTGTATGTTGACACTGGTATATTTTGTCCTTGTGTGTTGACACAGAGACATTTTTGTTAGTGTGTATTGATGTCTCGTGGATATGATTTTTTGTATTTTTTATTAATGCCGTGGTTTATTTTATCCTTGTGCGTTAACACGGTCAGTATGTGTTTCCTTGTGTGCAGACACTGAAGTGTATTTTTATAATGCGTGTTGACACTGTGGTATATATTACGTCCTTGTGTATTCACGTTGTTGTATAATTTGTCCTTGTGTCGTTGACACGTAAGTATATGTGGTATTTCGTCCTTGTGTTGTATTTTGTCTTTTATTTTGTCCTTGTATGGCATTTTGTCATTGCGTAGTATTTTATCCTTGCGTAGTAATTTGTCCTTGTGTGGTATTTTGTCCTTTATTTTGTCCTTGCGTAGTAATTTGTCCTTGTGTGGTATTTTGTCCTTTATTTTGTCCTTGTGTTGTAGTTTGTCCTTGTGTGGTATTTTGTCATTGTATGGCATTTTTTCATTGCGTAGTATGTTGTCCTTGTGTGGTATTTTGTCCTTTATTTTGTCCTTGTGTGGTATTTTGATTTTGTTTTGTCCTTGTATGACATTTTGTCATTGCGTAGTATGTTGTCCTTGTGGTATTTTGTCCTTTATTTTGTCCTTGTGTGGTATTTTGTCCTTTATTTTGTCCTTGTGTGGTATTTTGTCATTGCGTAGTATGTTATCCTTGTGGTATTTTGTCCTTTATTTTGTCCTTGTGTGGTATTTTGTCCTTTATTTTGTCCTTGTGTGGTATTTTGTCCTTTAGTTTGTCCTTGTGTGGTATTTTGTCATTGCGTAGTATGTTATCCTAGCGTGGTATTTTGTCATTGTGTTGTAGTTTGTCCTTGTGTGGTATTTTGTCATTGTATGGCATTTTGTCATTGCGTAATATTTTGTCCTTGTGTGATATTTTGTCCTTTATTTTGTCCTTGTATGGCATTTTGTCATTGCGTAGTATTTTGTCCTTGCATGTTATTTGGCCTTGCATGGTATTTTGTCCTACATTGACGCTATGCTTTATTGGCGCTTCTTCTTTACACTATATTTGTGGTAATCGTTTAATATTTTTTTCTTATTTCAGGAATAGCACAAACACAAAATGAACGTTTTAACATCAAAGACATACGAATCAAGCCGGTAAGATATTTGTAACTTTAATAATCACAATTGCCAATGTTGATTTTTCATAAACTGTATTGGTAGTCTTCGTTGGTGTTAAATTGTACCGAAGGCCTCCAGCGATAATAATTTTGTAAAACCCATGTACTACTGAAAGCTGACACTATACACCGAAAGCTGAGAATATACACCGAAAGCTGACACTATACACCGAAAGCTGAGAAAATACACCGTAGGCTGACACTATACACCGAAAGCTGACACTATACACCGAAAGCTGACATTATACACGGAAAGCTGACACTATACACCGAAAGCTGAGACTTTACACCGAAAGCTGACACTATACACCGAAAGCTGAGACTATACACCGAAAGCTGACACTATACACCGAAAGCTGACACTATACACCGAAAGCTGACACTATACACCGAAAGCTGACACTATACACCGAAAGCTGACACTATACACCGAAAGCTGACACTATACACCGAAAGCTGACACTATACACCGAAAGCTGAGACTATACACCGAAAGCTGACACTTTACACCGAAAGCTGAGACTATACACCGAAAGCTGAGACTATACACCGAAAGCTGACACTATACACCGAAAGCTGACACTAAACACCGAAAGCTGACACTTAACACCGAAAGCTGAGACTATACACCGAAAGCTGACACTATACACTGAAAGCTGACACTATACACCGAAAGCTGGCACTATACACCGAAAGCTGACACGATACACCGACAGCTGACACGATACACCGACAGCTGACACGATACACCGACAGCTAACACTATACACCGAAAGCTGACACTATACACCGAAAGCTGACACTTTACGCCGAAAGCTGACACTATACCCCGAAAGCTGCCACTATACACCGAAAGCTGTCACTATACACCGAAAGCTGTCACTATACACCGAAAGCTGATACTATACACCGAACGCTGACACCATACACCGAAAGCTGACACTATCCACCGAAAGCTGACACTTTACGCCGAAAGCTGACACTATACCCCGAAAGCTGACACTATACGCCGAAAGCTGACACTATACACTGAAAGCTGACACTATACACAGAAAGCTGACACTTTACACCGAAAGCTGACACTAAACACCGAAAGCTGACACTTTACCCCGAAAGCTGACACTTTACCCCGAAAGCTGACACTATACACCGAAAGCTGACACCATACACCGAAAGCGATTTTTACCGCATATCTATACATTTGGTAAAACATTTCTGAAAAGAAACTCATATCTTGCGGGATTTTAATGAAAAATAATAGATAAAATTAATCAAATATAATCAGTAATAGTATTTTAAGTGTGAAAGCTCAAAATAGCTTGCAATTTGCTATACTGTCGCTCTTGTCATTTGAGCTATTTGGTCAACTGCGCTGCATCCAAAACAGATTGAGGTAGATGCTATTGTTTATACGAGTTTTGTAGTATTTCCCTACAGCAGGACACGAATCAGCATAATAACAGCGATATCAAGGATTAATAGATAAATAAACGCCTAAAAAACAAATACCACATTAGTATATCGTTGAAATATCGCACCGGAAACGTACGTTTTATCTCTCAACTCAATACCAGGGGAAAGAGTTTAAAATATTGTAGAAATAAAAAGGTCATATACGGAATCATGTGTAATTAGACCGGAAGTCAATGTCAAACTGGAACAATTATGTGAAGGATTGTACAGCTGCAATCGGGTACCGTCGGCACTTTCCGTAAATAGTAAATTTGTTTGTTTGTTTATTTAACGTCCTCTGGCAATAACCAAAGTCCTAAGTAGGAAAGGGAAATATATAGAGAGCAATAATGTTGCAATCGTGGCAGCAAGTCAGTTTTTCTTCAATGTCCCTAAGCTTAAAGTAACGAAGTATATCCTTGTAAATAGGTATGTAACCGATTTGCGTTCACACCGGCATGAACACTGAAAAATATCCGTTCAATTCTGCTACTTACATGCTAAATTTAGTATTGACCTAAATATTCCCTGATTTTTTCTAACTATTGTCTCATGTTATTGGAGGTTGGCGCAGAAGCTGAAGGTTCAAAATTACACTGATCAACTTTGATTTGAATATAACAAAAAAACCAGGGGAATCCATACTAGTCACCCCATGCAGTTGGGTGGAGGAAAGCCGGAGTTCCCGGAGATAAACCACTGACCTACGGCCAGTACCTGGCGACTGCCCCACGGAGGCCTCGAACCCGCGACCCAATGGTGGAGGGCTAGTGGTAGCAGAATATATATGTCAGACGCCTTAACCACTTGGCCATCGCGACCCCTACGAACAGTTTACCCTAACTTCTGTCTCTATATGTACACAGATAATACACATTTTTTGTTTTTGTTTGTTTTATCTTTTACTCTGATTCCATTGAACCAATAGAAATTATTCATTTTTTTCTATTCTTTTTTTTTCAGTTTGAGGGATTAGAAACAGACAATATTTACTTCCCGTCCAGCACGTTTCCCTGGTATTCCGATACCTACTCCACGACTTTACCCCCCTCCTCCACAACTGCTACTACGGGTAAGCCGGAGGCACAGGCACAACCTTCGGAATCGAAGATAAATAAAAACCAAGATAATCTGTCTAAAAAAGCTTCTGTATCAAATAATCTTGACAGTTCGACCAAAAAAAAGGAACTGGTTTGAGCAACGGTAAAACCTACACCAATGGAGGAAGGAACAAAGCGGAAAATATTGACTTGAAAACATTAAGAGATGCTGCTCTCAGGAAAAAGGCAGGTGGTGTATCTAGCAATGGGACGAAAGCCATACCGTCGATAACAAAGCCAAATACAGGTGTCGTCATGATCAATGGGTCGAAAAGTGGAGTTGACGCAGGCAAATCACGTGATATGGTGCAAGGCGATAATATGAATAAAAACGCAGGGATATATGAAGACAATCGCGACCAAAACAAAAACTAGAATTCAGAAGGCGTACCATTAAATGTAGGTGTCGCCCATGGTTCGAGGGGCGGAGCAATTGCCATGCTGCCAAAGTCACGTGACTAAGCCATATATTTCGGGGTCAGCGGTTCAATTTGGCTGGGGAACCATGACGGTAAAGTCACGTGGTAGAGGTGTAGACGTGGTCAGTGGTTCAAACGGAGGAGCTGCCATTCCAATTAAGTCACGTGACAAGAATGAAGGTACAGTCACGTGTTTGTAATCCTGGTGATAACTTCGAAGGCGTGGTCAGTGGTTGAGAGGCGGTGTCTCAATATAGCCTTAGTCACCTGTCAAGAACTTTGACATGCATTTGATTGCAATTAAACAATAATGCCACGCACTAATCTAACTCGTGATAGTGCAAAAAGCTAAATTACAGTTTTAATATGATGTTAAAGTAGTATAGTACCAAACCATCAATTGAGTTGAAAAAACCAAATTGTCTGAAATAAAGTTTATTTATTTTCAATACTAGTGCTTGTTTACATATTCAATATCTGTGTGACTACTTTCAAAGACAACATATATTTAACAATGTTGATTTTATATATCCAGGAACATTAGGTCACAGTAACGTTATCAGAAACAGTTTTAATACAAGATTCCAGAAGGGTTCTTGGCGCCCACCAAAGTACCATCTTCTTTGGTTCTATGTCAGTTTGATATTTTCTCTTCTTTTCTCTTATCTGTTCGATCAGGTAGCCTGTCTGCCATCTTAATCAATCATTTGATCAACCTCAAAAGTTAGCATGCACTTCAGGAACAAGGGGAATTCCTCCAGTAAATTCTAAGAAATGGCGATAACAAACTTAAACGGTAACAAGAGGAACCTTCATGTGAAATTTGAGAAAGACCCCTACAATTATTCTGAGAAATAAAGCTAACAAACTGTCATTTTTAAATTCAAGATGGCTGCCTGTCGGCCATTTTGGTTTTTGAGATCAAGCCCGAAAAACGATATGCATAACAAGAGATCATGGGGAACCTTCGTGCGAAATTTGAGAAAGATTCAATAAATTATGGGAAATAGCACTAACAAACTTTCATTCTCAAATTCAAGATGGCTGCCTGTCGGTCATCTTAGTGATCAGTCCCAAAAAATAATATGCATAACTAAGGACCATGAGAACCTATATGTGAAATTGGAGAAATATCCAACCAACACTTTATGAGAAATAGATCTTACAAACTTTCATTCCCAAATTCAAAGATGGCTGGCTGTCGGCCATCTTGGTTTTGCGATCAGTCCCAAAACATAATATGTATAGCTAGGGAGCATGGGGAACCTATATGTGAAATTGGAGAAATATCTAACCAATACTTTATGAGAAATATCTAACCAATACTTTATGAGAAATAGCGATAGCAAACTTTCATTCTCAAGTTATATATATGGTTGGCTGTCGGCCATCTTTATTTTTGCGATCAGTCCCAAAAAACGATATACATAACTACTGATCATGGGGAAACTTCATGTGAAATTTAAGTAAGATGACTTCAGCACTTTTTGAGAAATGGTGCTAACAAGAATTGTTTAATGATAGACAGACGGACGGATCACGGACGCAGGGTGATTTGAATAGCCAAACATCTGATGATGGTCGGCTATGATCAAAATTCATTGTCCCAGCTAAGCAAGTGTGGATTAAAATCATCCCAAATGAATATACATTACATCAAAGGAAGAAATCTCAGGAGGACCTGTTAAATTGTAATATTAATACAGTAGACATATTGCTGTAGAAAGCAGATAACTGTGACATCAATTGAGAAGGTAGATAACTCTGATATTAAATAAGGAAGATCGCTATGTACAGGGGAGATTACTATGCAATATCAAATACTATAGACGGCTATTGTAGAAGGTAGATAAATAGTTGATAAATTACAGTTTAAATCATGACTAATCCTGATATAATTCTAAAACTAAAACTGGAGAATGAAAAACAATGTATCAAGAATAGTATGCCCTTCTTGCACGTGTCCACTGAATAACATAACATATCTTAACAAGAGTTCCGCGAAACAGTACATGATACGTCAGATGTAGAATGAGCAGTTGGCCACAAAAGGCCATAAGTGCATAAATTTTGGAGAGATAAGCGACAAATCTACAAAGGGCCATAACTGCATAAATAAGCGCCAAATAATTTTGGTTATCAAGCTTGTCCGAGCTTTCATGGCAATTAACCTTCCTACCAAGTTTGAAATTAATCCATTCAAAATTACTCAAGTTATTGAGCGGAAACTGTTTCGGCAATTCCTCAAAGGGCCATAATTTCGTTAATTACCGGCAAATAGTTTTGGTTATCGCAAGCTTTCATAGACATAAACCTTCCTATGAAGTTTGAAATGAATCTATTCAAACTTACTGAAGTTTTTAAGCAGAAACTGTTATGTCAATTCTATAAAGGGCCCCTTAATAACAGGCAGAGAATGGTTATCGAACTTGTGCAAGCTTTCATAGCAATGAACCATCCTATGAAGTTTGAAATGAATCCATTCAAAATTACTGAAGCTATGGAGCGGAAACTGTTTCAGCAATTCTACAAAGGGCCATACATGTAACTGTGTAAATTACCAGCGAATAATTTTGGTTATCAAACTTGTCTGAGGTTTCATGGCAATGAACCTTCCTACCAAGTTTGAAATCAATCCATTCAAAATTACTCAAGTTATTGAGCAGAAACTATTACGTCAATTCTTTAAAGGGCCATAACTCCCTTTATAACAGGTGGATAATGGTTATCAAACTTGTGCAATCTTTCATAGAAATGAACCTTCCTGTGAAGTTAGTAATGAATCTATTCAAAATTACTGAAGTTATTGAGCGGAAACTGTTTCGGCAATTCTACAAAGGGCCATAACTCGGTAAATAACTGGCAAATAATTTTGGTTATCGAACTTGAACAAGCTTGTGTAATGAATCCATTCAAAATGTGTGCATGCCCGCCTGCGTGAAAACATAATATGTACCGTCATTCTACGGGCGTATAAAAACTACATATGACTTGACATTGTTTTAGAAACAAAGAATGCAAACTGGCAATAGTCAGCATTTTAGTTTCGGTCAGGTACATTTGTATGTCTGGACCCCTCAATCTACACGTACCAAATTTTCCTGAGGTCAGCCTCAGTTCAGATTTGTGATTGGTGATTGTCAACAACATTAAAAATAAGAAAGTAGAATTCATTCTTTTGATATAATTTATTATTTATGTGGTTCTCATAGGAAACCTATTCATACATTTTCACTGACAACATACATGATTCCTTTTACTGCCATGAACTATTCTGAGACTCTTTGTTTTTTGGTCATTGACTCCAGCAACCATACTTTTTTGCAGCCATTTTGTACACTCTCATATATAAAAGGTATTAGCAACGTTAACAGTGTTACATACACTGTATTAACTCAGCTGGTGACATTTCTGGCTATAAACAAAAAATATTAAAAGAACAGTTGAAATATTACACTAACACAAAACAAAAACATTTTTTTAAATGAGCTTTAATAGTTAATTGACAAATGAAGGTTATTTCTAAATCAGTGATATTTAAAGAATTTCATATTTCAAAACCAATCAAGACCAAGTGTTATAAAATAAGTAACGGCACATAAAAATCTGCTGAAAAGATGCTCCATGAAAAGCATGGAAAAGACAATGGCATGTGTAATGATGATGTAGGTTGTTCAATTAAATATGTGGGAAAGACAGTACCCGGTGGGTAACATCGTTTAAGCTGTCAGTATAACTTATGTGCTAATGGTATATACCTATATACATAATGGTATATACCTGTCCATCAGATCTCTTGACATGTCTTTTAGCTCATTCACCCCTGACGACATATTTGAACTCTTCCAGTTCAAAGGTTGGAATAGTTCATTATGACATTACAGGGGTAAATTAGTTTAAGTACAAAAGAACAGTACTCCATGTAACCTTACGACATACATTGATTTGCTGTCACACAGTCTCATCTCGAAACCATCAAGGCCAGAACAGCTATCCATACTGTACATGAAATTGTTCCAAACATTCTCTTCAATGTCCTTTATGAACAAATCACTGTTGTAGAACCTTACAGTGTAACTTAGCCAGAATGTCTTTAAATTTAGATTGAAATGTCAAAACATCGAATGTTTACGAATTAACATAAATTGGACTGCAACTGTTACGAAATTCAGTTCGTCGAGCACGTTTTCCAGACTATCTGTTACAGAATTGAGGAGGTTCCACTGATAGTGTTATTTACTGTCCCCGCACTAGCACCATGTCCTTTGTCAAGTGTCACGACTTTAACTCATTCATCCCTGAAGACACATTTGAACCCTTCCAATTCAAAGGCTGGACTAATTCATTATAAATCTTGAGGGTTTAATGAGCTAACTGTCCTCTGACTACCATGTCCTCTAGTGTCACGTTTTCCTCATCACTAACATGGTGTTGATTTCCCAGATTATCATCCTCATCTGATCAATGATGCCCTTCAGCTCCCGATTCTTCGCCTGCAGTTGCTGTAAAAAGAAAATTATTCAAGTAAGCACCACAATGCCATATTTATAAAGTTGTTTGCTTTCCCTCTCTTTCCCAACCCTCTCAAGTTTTCTTCTCAAAGAATTAATATACAATGTATAAATAAAACAGCAGGGTTATCAGGTTTTGGTGGCGGAGGAAAGCCAGAGTATCCTGAGAAAAAACACTGACCTGCGGCCAGTACCTGGTGACTGCCCCACGTAGGTCTTGAACCAGTGACTTGGTGGTTGTAGGCTAGTGGTAGCAGAATGTCAAATGCCTTAACCACTTGGCCACCATGGCCCCAGTTTTAGCCCACCTATATTTTCAAAGGATTTTTCACTTGTCCTGACATAAAATCTACAAGCTTCAGGGAAAAGTCAAGCAAATTTGTACACTTCTGATCATGAACAGCTTTCTTTTCCACAGCAAATGTTATATATTTAGTTTTTGAAATTCAATAATCCCTCATGATTATGTATAGGTACATTGTTCAAGTATTTTATATCAGTATGCATGTGATTGCAGTGGTACTTTTTCTCAGTCATATTACTATTAATCATAATTTAATTTTCCAACAGAAAACCCCCAGATTTGTTCATGCATATATATTACTCACCATGCTAAATAAGAAATGGGAGATTTGAAACAGACATACAGGTATTTTAAATAGTTACTCAATTACATGTACATGTACATGCTCATGAAATATCTCTCTTCTTTCCCGATTGTCAGAAAGTCATTTCACAATAGTTTTTGATTAATTAACAAAGATGTACACTTCATATCAATTTACATATAGTGTAATACTACATGCAATTAATAAATAAAGATATTATTTTTCAAAAATCATCAACATATTTACCTATAAATAAAACATTACAACTGAGATAAAGATATATACATGGCGTTTTTTATATAATTAATGTTAGCATATTTATTTTAAATAGCGTACCTAATTTTAACAGATTAGCGCATTGATGAATTGATGCACCAACAAAACATGCACAGAATAAACAATATACAGAAACTTCAAATGGCGTATTCGTAATTTAGTGCAATATTTAAAGTGCAAAAAGTGCTAAAATAACACTACCGCTAAAATGTGTACGTTTACAGTACAAAGACTACAGACATTACGGATCATGTTTGTTCTCATCTGGCATGACATTGTAGAAAATGGCCATTAATTTTGTACGACCTGGCCATGGCCTTTTGAGAAATACTGTACCTCAATGACCTCTCTATTCTCGTCTACGACATATCTGTAATAGACCTCGGAGCTACTTGTGGACATTCTGTCCTCAAACGGTTGTCCTTCTATTGGTATCAGCGCCTGTTGGGTGAAAGCATTTCAAATTAATAGCAAAATGTAAAATGAATTGAGATATTTTGATGTAGAGCATGTACATATATTCATGAAACCATTGTCATGCTCAAATTCACATTTTGTGCTCAAGTCAAGTTTCTTGATTCGGTGATCAATCTATAATACTTCACATTTTGACGATAATTTGGAAGAATTTGGGAGTGACTTGAAGCAGACCTATGTTTTTAGGATTTACACCTGACCATTTTACCATGTCATTTAATTTAGGCGAGCTACAAGGAAGTTGGTTTGAGCACAGAATCCATGCTTGAGCATGAGAACGGTTTCATGAATATGGGCCAAGGATTTCATTTATTCGACTTTTCCAATCAGAACCAAGAGCATGATGCGGTAGTTTGAATTTAAGTGTGATTTCGGAAAGTATTTTGATGCAACACCACTTGGTGTTTAAACATATCAATCCATGGACTGCAAGTGATGAAACCTTTGAACTATTTCTGACATACAACATACTATATATCAACAGTACAGTCAAAACTAACTGCCAAATTTTTAGATCAGTCTGCTCATTTTTCAATATTTCATAAAACACTGGGGTGTACAATTTCCTATTTTGAGTATTTACAACTAATCCCAACACAGATTTTGAAAAATTCTAAAAGGGAACCTATATTTTCATAGTATGTATTGAAAATGTTCACTAGCCCACGACGTAAAAGTCTGCTAGCCTCAGGCGTCGGGCATGTGGAACTGCATACTGTCATGAATGCAATACAGACAATACCAATCTAAGCTGTATATATAGGATATCGAATGAAAAAATATTCAATCTTAAAACCTTATATTAGATACCTAGTTTTCTCCTTTCCATGAATAAAGATGCTGATAACTTGTGCCAGCTTATATCTTATCATATAAATTATGTGTTATGCAGCGTCATTAAATTGCCATCACATAAATTATGTTTATGTAACATGTGTAATATCACTCCGTAAATGACGTCGCAATCAAATAGTCACGTCATTGTGAAGCGGACACAATTTTCATCGTTTCAGGGCGGACAAGGACAAAACAAAATATTCATTTCAGATCACAATTATACAGTTTACTTTGTATTATATGATAAAAAGAATCTGTCATTCATTTCCCTTCATATAATATTGATGAGACTCGTTTTGGACTTTTCATATTTGCTTGGCAGAGGCTCACAAACATGAAAAAGTCCAAAACTTGTATCATAAATCTAATATGAAGGGAAACTTATGACAGACCCTCTATATTTCATAGATACATTTTGTATCTAGGCTAGGCAGATTTTTAAAACAAGACAATATAGCTGTCCGACATGAATGACTTGGCTGGTCGCTCTCCTGTCATCCCTTTAAATGCAAACTTGTCCTGGGTTCTTTGTGTATACTGAATACCAAAGTGTAAATTTTCATCAGAGCCAGAAGACAAATTTCTTTTTATAGAAACAGTGACCTTGACCTTGGATCCACAACCCTAAGCAACGATGAGTGAGGTGTTTCTGTACTGTATACTTGTATGAATTTTAGTCGCAATGGAATGAAAGGTAAAGGCAGAAGACAGATGACAAAAAAGTAATTGTACATGGCTTGATGGATGGAGGTTATGCTACACATGTAGTGTTTTTGCAAGACATACAAGACTAAAGTCACAATTAAGACTTTTTCAAATCAATGAATTGCAGTCTATTGTTAATACCCAGGGGTGAATGAGTTTACCCCCAACCTACAATGCAACCTAGAAATAAAATCATTAGCCGCAAGCGATGAAATCTATATCATGAGATAAATTTTATAGTAGTTTTTCTTTATGTATGTGAATGTTGTATGGGATAATTATCATTTATAACAACACATATATATATACCTCTTCTGGAAGGTTTTCACAGTCCTTGCTCATTTCGTTGACCTTGCTGTAGAAGAGGTGAAGTTTTTTAAATCCCATGGACAACGTCTGTAGGTTCTCCTCCAGTTTTCCCCGCTTGTCCATGTAGGTAGCAGAGGTTGCATTCACACCATTTGGTAGCTGAAACAAAAATATTCACATGGTATTGCTTTTACACTGGTCAATTGAAATAAAAAAGTAATGAAAGACTCCAACGTGCACTCATTCTGAAAGATGACTTGTATCAATATTAACTATAGCATGTGGTTTTCCTATTTTTGGGGGGAAATGTGGCCTGTGGCTTTAGAATTGGGCAAGTAATCCAATCTAGGATTTTCAGAATAACTAATTCACCATTGAAATTCCATAATGAACTATTCCAACCTTTATAATTGGACGAGTTCAAATGCGTCTTCAGGGGTGAATGAGTTAATTGCATATTGATCCATTACTGAACAACTTTAAATCTAATCAAAGAGAGCTAAGATTCACTAAATGATGCATACCCTTTAACCATTGTGATGACCTTAACCATAACCATTCATGTTGTTTGTAAATAAGGTCACTGTGTCCAACCCAAATACACACATTTATGATGTTTTATTCATGAGAAAGTCTAGTTCTGAGTTCAAAACTGATAATACAATTGTAAATTATGGTTTAAACAAAACAAATAACTTAACCTTTGATTGAACCTCAATCTCAAGCTCTTTGATATGAACATCAATGTGCTGTGCAACACTCTGCCTTATCATGATTCATAAAACATATGCAAGTTTCATAAAAATATGTTTCTAAAGGTCTTAACATTTTCTACAATAAATTGACCTTAAACTTTGACCTTTTGCCCTGACCTTGACCTTTAGAGTACTAACCTGAAAATATAAAGCAATGTTCAATCTATGAAGTTTTAAAATGAAAGACTATGGCAAAATATTTGGTCAGGAAAATGTCAGAGCTTTCAGCTGACCTTTGACATTTTGTAATTTTAGAAATAAGGTGAGTCATAACACATGTCAAATACAATTTCTTTTTAAACCCATGAGTCAAAACTTATTTTGGAAAATCAAAAATATAATCTCAAGGGTCAACATAAAGTCATGAATGTGTTCAAAATGCACACACAAATAGAAAACATCTTAAGATTCTTTTCATCCATTTCAATGGATGAAATTTTTAAGACTGCCCAAATAAGATAACACTAAATGGTACTTACTGGCATTTGCTTTGTCTGCAACTGTTTAAATATTTCTGTGACTTTAGCAACAATGTCCTGCACAAACTCCTGTCCCTTCTTACACAGGGTGATAGCATTAAGCTCCTTGGTGGCGCTGGGAGACATCATTTGGGGTTGCATTTGACTCGGAGGGTGTTGCATCGGGGGCTGTCCGATGATGCCCTGCTGAGTGCCAGGACCTGGCCCCGGACCCGGCTGAACTCCAGGATAAGGTGCTGGTTGCTGCCCTGGCTGCCCTTGGGAACCAGGCATCATTTGTTGGTACTGATGGCCAGGTGTTGCCATCTATAAACAGTCAATTACTATTAGAATAATAGACAACATTGGTAAGTGTCTTAAAATACAAGGTTAAATATCTAATTTGAAAAAAACTAAGTACGAAAACACCAAGATGATGACAATCTTCCAATCTGTTGCAAGCCCAATCATAGCTTGATGAGTTGTAAAACACAAACTAGTAACCAAGTAATCTATTTATTTGGCAACTTTTCAAATTTGCAGAAACAACTAATCAATTCACCTCTGAAGTCACATTTGAACCTTACCAAATCAAAGACTAGTCAAGTCCAGTTTAAAAATGTAGGGGTGAATGAGTTAACAAAAATTGAACACCAGGTTGGATGTTCAGGATCCCCCAAGGCATTATGCAAGAGTTTTTGTAACCTAAATTTTACAATAGCCTGTTCCTTAAGGAATTGGGAAAATATAGAATTATTTGCATTGAAATTGGGAATACATTCCTCACTGTCAGCTTTTGGTCATTTTGGGAAAATAAGGCTCTTTTTAGCAACGACAATCAGTCTGTATTGGGTAGTAAAACTAAGCAATTATAATCACTGTTATGGTTTGTGTTGCAAAACCAAAACATATGTTAATCCTGTTTCGTTTTTTCCCTGAAAAACACTGTAATACAATGTAAGAAGCAAACTCTGCTAAATCCATAAGATATTTCAATCGTGTTAATTACCACACGTGTGATCGAATCATTCGGAAGTAAAGTATTATTGCTTCTTTGACCTCATCAAGAAGTTCTGAATATCTTATACCTACAAAGTTTATACTGATTTGATATTCATGGTCTATTTGAGAAATGCTTCATTTCAAAAATAAGTTATTGCACACAAACAAATAATATACTGAGATAATAACTAAAACTGAATTTTTGAAAGCATTCCTATAGCGATTTGGAAGTTTGATCCCAGTTTATCCCTACATCTATAGAGATAACACATATAACTAGGGTTTATTAGTGGTTTGTCAGACAAACCATCAAGTTATAATTACTGGCAAGTGAAATACTCAACCTAAAGAAGGGAGATAACTGCAACAAATTTCAAAATTTGCATGCTTGTAATTATATATAATAATATTTTATATCATAAATGAACATATGGTTAAAAGTTATCACCACTAGTTAGTCTACCGAGCAAACTGAATATCGCATTACATTAATCTAATTGATTATCACATAGGAAGGTTTGAGGGGAAGGTGTGTGGTTATAAAAGAGAAAGATATATACAATGTACATGAGGTTATTACTTTTTGATTGGCACATGGAAAGTATATATATGTGCTCCGTTTTACAAGGAAACATTCATTAATTGAAGTGTGTAATTATATAATGACTGTGTATTAAATCTGGAGTGAAATAATTCTGTCAAAGAGGCAATATGGATTAAGTTCTGACTATCTCCATCCAATCAAAAAATATAGAGTAAATATAGTTTTATAGTATCGGACAACTTGTAACATCCAGCTCACCTCAAGAACATTCTTAAACTACCCTGGTTTACTGATCTCATTTGTTGTCTGAATTCTTTTGAATATAAATAGAACTTTTACTTGTTATAAAAATTTATTTCACATACATCTGTATCTTTATTTTTTTTAATCTTGAAAATGTATGTAATTAAGGTACAAACATCTATGGTGACAGTACCCAAATCGGATCACCAAACCATCATTTAATTAAATCATTGAAAAATCTGAGGAGTTATTATATTCATTTATGGTTGCATCAAAAGAAGGATAGCAATGCCGGTGTTCTTACAATCGAAATTAGCACCCGGGGCTCACTTGAGATATTTATAGAACGCTCTGAAGTCAGCAATCAGCGTCTCCGGTTTTTGCGAATGTCGGGATCCAAATCGGATCGAGGCTTGAATTTTGCAGTATCTTACGCTTCAAATGAATATTTTTTTGTCAGCATATTAACATTTTATGATGACCTTTAGAATTTATATGACAAAAACTTTAAAGTATTTCTATAGTGTGAATGTATATTTCTCATAGTCAAAAACTTAATGCGTAGTCGTCGCACTCGCNTGTTTTCTTGTGCTATTTGATCTTAAAAACAAATCATCTGTAGACAAAAAAATGGTGCATGGCTATCTATTCTAAGATTACATCATTGGTATAACTGATTTGCTGACACATTTATTGATTCATAAGTATTTTTGCAAAAAGTTATCCGATTTGGGTACTGCCAACTTACTTAATTGCAATGTCCAATTTAATGTGACTTCATACATGTAGGTGAATGGACTAGTTGTTTACAAAATAATTAATTGAAATAGCTAAATGCATTTTTTTCATTTTTTTTTATGTGCGTTCGTTTTATGATGATCGCAAGTTCGTAACTTATTTTGTAGGAGCAATTATCGCGACATTAAGAAGAGCCAATGCACTCTGCTACTGTTGAATACAATCCTGACAGTGACAATGGTCTAGCCAGGTTCATAACAAAAACATTTTGTCTGTCTGATTTCAAGAGAACATGTCACGAGATGTAAATTGGTGTGATAGACATGTTAAGCTCTTTGTTATGAGAAGATGATGTTGAATTCTGAAAGACATGCACGAGTCAACGAAGATCTCATCTATATTTACCGGCGTTATTTGTCGAACGTTTCTCTTCAGTGTTCTTCTGACCGGAAGTTTCCGAATCAAATACCAGTACAATGTATCGATAAACGGTTATTTTCATTTTACCGATTAAGACAACAAATCTATCATATTTACAGTTTTTACAATTGTAATAAATGATTTATATATAAAAATGTACATTTACAAATAATATATGCAGATATTTATGGAAATGACATATTGATATTTATCGACTATGTTTACCTGAACGAATTCTCCATAGTTTCCGGTCTTGCGTTGAAAAGATTGGTAAGCTCGTGGGTAGCATTCGTTACCTTGTGGTTCGAATCCTCCTACTTGCAGTCGTAGTCTTCTTTTTTTATTCCCTTTTATATCATTATCTTAAAAACTTATTTTTATCTGAAGTGTAATTATTTGTGATAATATGTCATATTTGTGAGTGTGTGACTATGTTTTTAATGTTACTGCTTGCACTCTGGCCCTCACAGAGATAATATTTTGACATCTACGTTACGGTTAGTTTTTATACCACATTATATAAACAGTACAATTGCATGAAGTATGAATTCTATTTGAGGGTAATTAAGTGTGTACAGCTACTACAGCTTCTAAACACGTGTATATATATACAAATGAAGGCCAAATGACACTTTCCCATTGTCATACATAGGTATATATAATTTCTTATTATACTATTTTGATACTTTCAGGGATAAAACATTCCAAAAGGGAAGGAAAAGGTGAAAAATTAGCAAAACATTAAATTACATAAAATCTATTGTAGCCTGTTGGACATGAGTTTATAATTAACTCATGTCAGTGTTCCCCCCCCCCCCCCCCCCCCCCCGAGTCACATTATAATTATAAATATATAAGTTACATTGTAAGAGCTAGGTAGCGCTCGAGCTATTAAAACATATTTTCTTCACAATATATTTTCGAAGGTGAAATATCTTCTTTTTCAGCATATAAGAATATATATGTAAAGTGCTTGAATAATTTAAGGAACAAATTGTACTTTCCTATTTAAAAATATGTCGTTATTTATAAGCTTATAACTTAATTTCTTTTTCATTTAAAATGGAATATTTAAATAGTTAGACGCTTTCAGTAGATCCTATATAAGAAGAAAGTGAGAGTATGTATTTGACCCTCCAAAATGACGTCTGATTCTTGTGTTTGAAAAGAAAAAGGATCTATTTATTTAAAATGCGTTTTGACTCATTTGTAAAAGGGAAAAACTAAATTTGACACCTGAAATAGCTAAATGTCAAAGTCAACTGAAAGCACCGTAATAAGAAAATGTGTGAATTTATAAATTATAATAATAATTTGTTAATTGATATTGGCCTTATTAATACATTCATGTACATTTATCCCTTTCTAGGTTCTTTCATGGATTCAGATTCCAATGGAATTCAGTCTGGACAGTCAAGATACTATATGTTTAAATGTACTGCAGACAAGAAAAGGTGTTAATGAACATATAAAACTGAAACAATTTTACAGTATAATTCGCAAAAAATTACAACATGTCTAAAAGACAGAGAAAAAGTATGGATGGAGATCTGGACCATGGAAGTGGGGTTAAGGAAGCGGATGATAAAAATAGTGAAGAAAACTTGACAATAGAAATGCAAAGAACTGAACACCTTAAATCAAAGAAAAGGGGCAGGCCTAAAAAATCTGAAAAATCGTTCAATCAAACAGAAGAAAATGTAGATACAAGTTCAAAATTGAGGAAGAGTAATGACCAGGCAAACAGAAATAATATGACTGAAGGGCCAGGTATATCACAGACTCGGAACGACAAACGTGGACCCAGTGAAAGTGCCTTAAGCTCTGGGGGAAAGAAACGGAACGAACCTGATGAGGGTGAGTATATGTATACTACTTAAGTAGTGATGGGCAATCAGTTTAAAATCATAATCAATAATCAGTATGCAATCAGAAGTAGTAAACCTATCGATTTTTGATAGCACAACTAGGTTCTAATTTTATGGGACTGAATACACAAATAAAGTGACAACACTGTTTTAACATCATTAGACAGTGTTGCTAACTGTAAATTACTAATTTTTAGTAAAGAAATATGTCTATTGATGTAAAAATCAGGTTTTGTTCTTTTATAATGTACAAGCAACTTTTACTTTTTTACTGTTTTGATTTTTTTTCTGCATAATATCAGCAGTCTTTTAATAAAAACCATAAAAAAAATGACTTAAATCGTCAAGGGCATTGTTTTCTTTTTGTTGAAGAGGATAACTCTAATGACAAAGGACCGGAACAAACTGTGATAAAAAGGAAACGAGGCAGGCCAAAGAGCTTACCAGATGCAAAACGCCTCAAATCAGTGGGTGAAAGTGGTATGACTGACGACAGCGTCATAGAAAAAGGCAAAGAAAAGGAAGACTGTGGAAAAATGAAGGAAAAATTAACTCCAGGAACGGGGAAGAAAAAGGGGGAAATTCCAAACTTTCAAAGGAGAAGTTCTAGTGGTAGGAAAATCAATCTGACTGCAAAATTTGCAGATTCCATAAGTTCTGATTCAGATGTAGACGATAGGGATTCAGAAGAGAATTCTTTTAATGAGGATAAAGAGACAATGAAGGGTCGAGGAAGAGGTCGGGGGAGAAGCAGAGGAAGTGGGCGTGGTAGAGGAAGGGGCAAGGGTAGAGGAAGTGGCAACACTCCGAATATTGATGATGATAAAGAGGGTAATTCTTCTGATGATGAAGTTTCATTTAAATCCAGCACACCAAAGGTTAGAGGTCATGGTAGGGGTCAATCTAGGGGTAGGGGAAGAGGTCAGACTGTGCAGGTAAAACATGAATTAACAAACAAAGACGAAAGTGGCAATTTAGATGATGTTGACATTGATAAGGATGTTAACAACGATGACCCTGTTGTCATTTCTGAATCCAAGGTCAAAGGTCATGATAGGGATGGCCCTAGTGGTAAAGTGAAACATCAAGGCACTTCAGTAAACAAGGAGACAGAAAAGGATAAATTGAACAATTTTGTTCATATTGACGTTGACATGGAGGATAATTATGATGAGGACAACGTAGAGTTTTCTGTGCCAAAGGTCACAGGATGTGGTAGAGGCAAACGAAGTCGAGGAAGAGGGACACCCTCGAAGGATAAAAGTTTACCAGACACCGAAAACAACATGAATAATGGCTCTTTTGAGGAAAGTTTAAAGGTTTCTGGAAGCCATCCCTTAGAATCTTCTACACCAAAGGTCAGAGGTCGAGGACGTCCTAGAGGGCGAGCAGGAGTCAGGGGAAGAATTACGCCTATAAAACCTGTACATATGAAAGTGGAAGATGACAGCAAGAATGATATGTCCAGTGATGACCATTTATCTAACGATCAATTAGACCACTTAGATTCTTACACACCAAAGGTAAGAGGTCGTGGTAGGCCTAGAGGTCGTCCAAGAGGTCGTCCTAGGGGTCGAGGAAGACCTGCTTTATCTAAAGATAAAGATGACAGTTATAGTGACAGTTCTGATAATTCTGATAATGACTACACTCCAAATGTCAGAGGTCGTGGGAGAGGTCGAGGCAGAGGTCGAGGTAGAGGTCGTGGTAGAGGTCGACGAAACTCGAGTAGTGAGGAAGATTCAGGAGAGGAGACTACACAGGTAATAATAAAACTACTGATATAGCAGTTAAATTCTCGGGGGTTTCATTTTCACTATATTTGCATTTGACAAAAATCTTTCTACCAGTGAAATATTATTATTTATTTTGCTCCGTTTCTTATTTCTTCCACTTAAAAATGGAAGGCAGTGTGCTAATAACTTATTCGTTTTTTGAACGGTCACCAACATGGTCACTGCTGCTTCTGATTAGTCGAAATTTATATATTGACTGGTTTCACTCAAATTTGGTATGTAGACGATACTGGTACTGCAAGCACTTCTGCAACTTCTATTAGCATCCTTTGTGACTGTGAGGTTAGTTTGGGGACTTCTGTAATGGCTTCCATTACAATCTCTGTTTCAGGAGTCTTACAAGTGTGTGCTGTGTGGAAATGAGTATGTGGGGAAAAGTGGCATCAAAGATCACATGATGAGAATCCACTCCGCTGTGGTAAGTTGGTTTTGAAAGATGATCGCTAGACACACACCCATGATTGTACCTATATAAATACAATGTACCTAAAATAAAACAGATTCATTATGTTTAAAATGAATTACACTACATCATACAGCTGTTTCCTCATTCTAAGACTCATCGGTGATGTAAAGGACCGAACAGGAGGACATCCAAATTGGTCTAAATGACTGTTGAAACAGAAGGGAAGATGTGTGTAAACTCCTTTAACCCTTTCACCACTGTAGACAATAATAAACTCATCCAGATCAATGTAATATTGGTAGAGTCGACTAAATTTACCTAGGGGTGAAAGGGTTAATTAAATGAATTTCAAAAATTCTACTTATTTATTATGAATACATTTTGCAAGTGAATTTTTTTATGGTGAGTCATGCTTCTACTCAAAAGAAAAAGTTATGGTGAGATAATTGAAGTTAGAAGTAAACTGTTAAGATTATATATACGTTTAATTTTGGTTTAACAAATACGTTATAACATGAAAAATTCGTTGGTAATTTTATTTACCATCTCAAAAAGTAACAAATTGGTGAAGATGTTCATTCGAGTTAAAATAACCATGTCTAATGTGTTGTATAATTATTCTCATAACTGGTTGACAGCAGACCACGCACCAACAAAATTAAAGCTGTACAAAAAAAACACATCCCCAACCCCTCACTTATATATTCATTCTTGGTTGTGCTGGCTTATTTTTTGGTCAAAAATGCAGTTGGTTTCATTTGAAAATTTGAAAATTGATAACTTAATCAGATTTTAATCGTTATATTGTATTATCTTGATAAATCTAACTCAGGCGTTAAAAATGTTGAAAATTGAATTGTGACTGATTTGCTTGATTTGCTCTCTGCCATAATAAATTGCATCTTAATTTACAAACATACCGTGAATGTTGATTATTTCATGGAAATGTTTTCGTGATTATTATATTGGTCATCAATACATAACATGTATTTATGTAAAAATAATTCACAATATTAAACATAGAGAGATCAGATCTCTATTGTTCATTGTTGAGGTGCATCAACTTAGCATAATGTAAACCTATCTTGTGGTATATATAGTCATGTTTAATATGGAGGTAACGGATTTGCATTCAAACCGGCAAGAAAATTTAAATAACAGTACACCGTTCAATCCATACAACATAGAACAATCGTTTGATTTTATTCATTTGTTCTTAAATAATTCATTTATTTACTGTGTTTTGTATATGCATCATCTTTTTAATGACATTGGCGGAAACAGTCCTATTTAGATAAAATTGGCACCAATAATTAACCGTAGTCTTTTGATTGTTTGACGCATCGCCATTCTCCAAGTTATCCAAAGCGACAAGACTCTCATTGTTAATCGATGACGTCATAAGTAAACCATATGTTATGTCACGAGAGTTTTTGTTTTCATACTCAAATATTGGCAAATGTAAATAATAATCAATATTTTGGATTTACTTTTAGTGGTCTAGAAAGTGTCCAGAAGGTTTGACGGACAACGCCTCCCTGAGACTGGTCCTGAAAAAAATGAAACGACTGCTTTGTCCTAAATGTGGCAAGGAACTGCGATTTGTACAGTACTACTGGAAACACCTCGAATGGTGTGGAAGGGAGGTAACTCATTTCTTAATCATTTTCGGCGGATTGGTCGAGTGGTTAACACTTCGGCCTTCCACGCATGCAATATCAGAAGTGTTTTTCTCCTACCCACACAACTCCAACAACCCAGGTGCAGTATAAAATGGTCTGGGGTCAAAGCACAGTCCCATTACAAACAGAACACAATACCTCTCCAGCACACATGCAGGCATTCACTCATAGGGAGATATTAGCCAGGTGGCATAGATCTAGTAGTTAGCGCCTGATAAGGCTGGCAGCTTCTGCAAATTCCTCAAAAATTGTATTCATTAATGTATATATATGCTAATTGTATTAATTGCACTGTAAAGCGCTTTAGAGTGGCTTATGTTAGCTAGATAGGGCGCTATATCAAATGTTGTTTATTATTATTTTAGTAATAAGGCAGTAACAAATTTGTACTACGCCTGTAAGTTGTGACTTTTTTGATTTTCTATGACAATTTTCTGTCAAAAAATATAGAACACTGCAAAATTTTAAATGTTCGGAAATTAACTTGCAATTTCTACAAAACAGATGTTGTGTGGTTGACTAATCATATATTATTCACCAACGACTCAATCTATTGCACTAGAACATCCCTTAAAATTCAAGGAAATTTTCTGTTAAAATGTCTAAGCTAGAACTGAACTCATTCACTCCTGAAATTTCATAATGAACTATTCCAATCTTTGAATTGGAAGAGTTCAAATGTATCTTCTGGGATGAATGAGTTAAACAATATCTGAATCACAAATTGAACCACCTTATGACTCATAGCAAAAAAAGGAAACTTAGACTTGAAAATTTGTTCAGTACTTCGATGTATGTGGTATGGCGCTGAATGGGGCAAGCAGTGTTTCTTCAAAATATGGTTTTGCAAAAGTAGGAAAAGATACCCAAAGAACGAACATTCAATATTTACACAAGACATGTTTTTTGTAGTTCAGCTTGTAGATTTTAAGATACCTAAGGGTATACATGCAGATCCATAAGTTAAAAGTAATTTATAAATAAATAAAAATAGCAGATTAAAAGATGAGCAACAACTCCTTAAGTCTACACATGTACATCCTTCTTTTCCTGGTTGCCAACATGGACAGCCGTTAGGCTGTCGCTAGGGCAATTTTTTTCTTTGATTGTTACATGATATAGTTGGTGCTGTTGCTTCATTTGAACTTGAAATTAAAAATTGACGTAGTGAATAGAAAGTGCAATTCTGATTGGACAATACTAAAAGTGATATGTTCCCGTCTGAAGAATAAAGTTTTCGTATAAATATCTCCACTGCAGTGAAAGATACAAGTTTTTATCAAATTGATGATTTCCTATATTTCACTGGTGACAATATAATAAATCTTATTCTTGTTTTTTGTTTTTTTGTCCATAGAAAGAGACATTTATTTGTGACATTTGCAATAAAGAGACGAAACTGATGTGGCAAAAAGAACACACAAACTACCATGGCGTTGCGGAGAGAAATAAAGAAATAAAAAAATTGAAATACGATAAACTAAGAGCTGAAGATGACGAAGACGACATCGATGAAGAGGGAAAAAGAAAAAAACGAAAGGCATCTCAAAAGTAGGTAAAAAGAATCTGTACAAAAGTAGGTCATATACAAATATTCTGTTCAAAAGTAGATCATTTCAAAATATTCCTTACAAAAGAAAGTCATATACAAATATTGTGTACAAAAGTAGATCATATCAAAATATTCCTTACAAAAGAAAGTCATATACAAATATTGTGTACAAAAAAGGGGCATATCAAAATATTCTACCCAAAAAGGTCATGGCAAAATATTCTGCACAAATGTTGGTCATTTGAAAATATAGGTCATATCAATATATTCTGCACAAAAGGAGGTCATCTAAAGTATTTTCTAATCTTCAAAATTTGAACAATACCAATTTTCATGGATCTTTTAGAATTATTGATTCCTATTTCTTGTGCAACCCAAGTAAGATGCATCCTCGTTAATAACTGACTTCAGGACTGGTATCTGGGAGTTAATTTGATCAGGGTTCGGACTGTCTATATCTTGTTTTCTAACTTGTTACATCAGAGCCAGGAGTCTGCTGTCAGATCTGTCTACCCAGGGAGACATAACGAAAGACGATGAAGAGGGGAATGACTCATCAGATTTAAATCTAGGGCAGGAGTCGTCCTCGGATGACAATTTCGAGTCAGATATTGATGATGATGAAGCGAATGATTTAAAAGGGAATAACTCTAAGTCTAATGAATGCAGTAAGTACAATTTGTATATGCCCGTCAAATTTGACGGGAGTTTTATGGTATGGCGTCGTCCTTCCGTCTGTTCGTCCAGCGTAAACTTTTGTTTTTCCGGCAATCTCCTCCTACATTTTTCGACCGATCTCTTTGAAACTTGGTATACATTATAACCATGATATCTAGTTGTGTCTCCCTTAAAAGAATTTTGATTCAAATTTTGCAAAAGCTATTGCCCTTTGTTCATTTCAGTATTTGATTTTTTGTCTGGAGATTTTCTCCTGCATTTTTTATAGCATGTCAGCTAACCACTCTTAGAATGATGCAGATCTTATTTCAATGTAAGAAAGTATATAACACTTTTCTACATTCGACGGGCGTACTCTTGTTGTGTTTAAGTCTTATAGTTTCTCTGATATGTGCATTGCTGGTCAAAGCGAGACATATCAATCTGAATGACTTGTATAAGAAACGTGGTTCAGTACAACATTATGTCGGATTGTACATGATGTTAGAAAACTCAGGGGCTGGATTAGACAGGTTTTAATGTTAAAATATTGCAAATTTTTGATAAAATTCTATTATTCAAAAACTGCAAATACTATCACACAAGTCTAGAACAGTTTTAATTTTCTAGTTTTGTTTTTTGTCTGTGAAGTAGAAATTCATGTAAATCTGTCAATCAATTTTCTTTCCAAAATGTTATACATAATTGCAGTATCTGAAATGTTGAAAGGGAACTGTGACCATTAAAAAGACAATACAAATAATTTTTAAAAACTGCTGAATTGTCTGAACTGCTAATTTAGTGTCTGGTCCATAATGTGTGTATTACCCTGTATACTGTGAAGTTTGTGTTTCATTTGTGCAGTAATTCTGTTGAAATATCAATTCTAGAACCTCAGAGAATTCCGATGTCCAGAGAGAAGGCGGGGCGGACCCAGTTTGATTACACATTCAAGAAGCTACATGACCTAGATAAATCCGGGACAAGAAAATTTCCGGAGATTTCACCGCAACTAGAGGATTGGACGGAGCTTGATATCAGGTATCGTTTAATACTACGGTATATCTGGCAATAAGCCCAGGAAACCTACACATAATCTCCGACCCAAAGAAGGAGAGGGGCTTCATGAACTACAATATATATGGGTGGGCTTATTACCAGGCATAGTCTTATAATCAGATATATGGTATAATTAACGGAGGCCCAGTTTTTAAAACCTGATTCAAGACCAAATTCAGCTTTGGCCTATTTATTTTATACCTCTGTATGGAAGATATGAAGAGGTATTGACGCTTGTGTTTCTATCCTGTCATCTATCAATCCATTTGGATTTATTTCTGGACAATAACTTATTGCCTTGTCTTAATCAAATTCAAACTTCATACAGTGCTTCCTTGCCGAGATAACTGCTTGGGATATTGTTTATATGGAAAGGTTGAGGTCATTTTAAATACAAAAGCTGTTTCCTAAATGGAATTTACGAGTCTGTCCATAAGAGTAATCAAAATTCAAAAGGAGGGAGGATCAGACAACATCAGATATGCAGTTCTTGGCAACTGAAACTTTATGTTTCGGCCCACTAGGGCAGTTGGGCCGACATCAGGGATAGTTTATCATGTGTGTGACTTTGTCATCATCGACTGTCTCTCTCTCCACAGTGCCATAGAGGAATACCTTCCGAACACCAGGGAGAGCATGGAGTTTGTTGTAACATATAAGAGCCCGAAGGCTGTAAAACCAGGCAAACCCCAGACAATACCCAGGTTTAGCTCAGTTACGGGCAGTGGTGAGTAACGTCTAGGACAACACACATTTACTACCTTCTTATTCAGAAACATCAGAAATTACATTATCAATTTTATGATTTTTTCTTTGTAAGCAAAACATACCATGCAATAGCAGAAAACAATAGAATTGCATTGATTAGCTCATTTAACCCTTTCCCCCCTATGTAACTTTAATAAACTCTACCATAAATTGATCTGGATGAGTCCATTATGGTCTACAGTGTTGAAACGGTTAAAAAGGATTTTGGCTTGTAGTCAAGCATCACATCATTAGAAATGTACGTCCCAACGATTATACTAATAAAGTATGTACTTTGTTGATGCAGTAATATTTTGCTGTAACATTTTAATTGTTCCAATAGTGCATGTACTTTAATGTCGTAAAAAGAAACTTATATGTCTGTCCCATTAGTTATAAATTTGACTATATTTCACTTGCATACCAATATTTTCACTTGTGTTTTGCACCGGAGAAAACATAGGTATACTCGTGAAATATATATAAAATATTATGGTTTTTCATTTGAATTTTATTTTTAAATTTATGAATAAATAGTTTTTACTCAAGAAAATTATAATAGTGTTTGCCGTCTCAGTTACATGTAATGGATATTCTCTGTTTCTGTTGTTTGGTACAGGACATACTACACTGTTTGTTGGTGGACCCGTATGGGGCCTGGCGTGGTGCCCACTGCCCATCAAAATGAAGTCTCCACAGTACCTGGCCATTTCCTGTAGCACAGACATGGACCAAAGGATCCCACTCTATAAAACTGTCGCCCAGCCCAGCATCATTCAGCTGTGGGAAATTGGAGTTCGTGCAAAGAAGTTAGAATTAGATTTTTATGCTATAATTCTAACGGGGAAAAACTTCAAACTAATATTTATATAAGCATTGGACTGCTTTCAATTGGCATTCATAGTCAGTATGAATGCCAACTGGAATGTGACAATGCCATGAAGTGCAACGTGGCACTCATATTGACTACCAACCAAAAGTTGTTGAATGCTCATACAACTGTATTTACAATTTTTGTCTCGCCGCCACAACGTAGCGGAAGCGAGACTAAGCTGTTGCTTTTCCGGCAACGGTGCGTCAACATTAAGTTTTTGCGTTTCAGTTAGTTTCACTGAAAATATAAGTGTTACACCAACCAAACTTTGACCATAGATGCATCTTAGGTAGTACATCTCAACCCATGCATCAAATGCTGGATGCGGCCTACCTTTCATGGTCCATTGACTTCATCAACATCTCGATCAACATTAATCTTTTTGCGTTTAAGTTAGTTTCTCTGAAACTATAAGTGCTAGACCAAACAAACTTGACATGTGCATTGATGGTCAAAAGGGGGCACAGGTGAACAAAGCGGGGCACATGCGAATGGCTTGTAAACAATTATGATCACAGAAAGAAAAAAATGTACCCAAATTCAGCATTTAGTTCAGATAAATGTAAGGATCTTGAATGGTTGTTTGATGAATAAACAGTCATCTTTAAGTGAGGGTCAGTGGCAGCCAAAGTTTGATATCATAATAATGATGGGGTCAACATGTTGGTCATGGCATTCATAGCTGATGTGAATGTGATCTCTACTTGGCAGGGTTATATAGCGGCAGTGCCGTATATTGGTACAAATAACTGTATTTTGATACTGTCCAAGTTAAGACGGATTATACTGTAATATAAACTTCATTTTCATAACATTTTTAGCTCACCTGGTCCGAAGGACCAAGGTGAGCTTCGGACCAAGGTGAGCTTATGCCATACCGTGGCGTCCGTCGTCCGTCCGTACGTCCGTCCGTACGTCAACAATTTCTTTAAACGACTTCTTCTTCTTAACCACTGGTTGGAATTAAACTAAATTTGACTGGAAGCATCCCTAGGTGGTGGTGATTAGAAATTGTACAAATGGTGGGGCTGACTCCCCATGGGGCTGAGGGGCGGGGCCAAAAGGGGGCAATTTGGCTACATTGCTACAAACGACTTCTTCTGTAGAACTGTGCACTGGATATCAACCATATTTGATCAAAAGCATTCCTTGGAGGCAGGGATTTAAAATTGTACAAATGGTGTGGCTGACCCCCCAGGGGGCTGAGGGGCAGGGCCAAAAAGGGTATTTGGCTATACTGCTTTAAGTGACTTCTTCTCTGGAACTGAGAAGTGGATATCAACCATATTTGACTGGAAGCATCCCTAGGTGGTAGTGATTAAATTTTTTACAAATGGTGGGGCTGACTCCCCAGGGGGCTAAGGGGCGGGGCCAAAAGGGGGCAATTTGGCTATATTGCTACAAACGACTTCTTCTGTAGAACT